ATCTTCGGAGCCCCGAGAGAGCAGATCCAGCCCGCCGACGGGTACACAAGGTGAGAACAAGTTCAGCCGATCACGGATCGTTGGGGGGCCCCCTCCGTTAGTCGGTGTCTGGGCGCTGGTGGGAAGCTCGATCAGGCCTTAACCAGATTTTGGCCGATCCCGCTACACCACAACTTCATGGACATTGATATCAATGAAAAGAAAGTCTAATACATCGCCAAGCGGGTGACTCTTTTCCAATGCTTCTTCTGTAGTAATCTTATGAATCATTGCAGATGACAGTGGAATGGTAAATCCCTCGGGTTTTATTAGAAAACACTTACTTGATAATAGTTTATTATCTACGCTATAGATCCGCCAAGCTAGTTAAACCATTCTGCAATAATCCCAATTGTTTAATGTCAGCGGAGTGGCTAACAAATTGAAGCTTTCCGGAAGCCCAGTGGTTTCAGTGTCGAATACTAGAAAACTCATTGTTAACTGCTTGTTATATTAGTGATATAGTACATTACTTCTAAGCATAAAATAGCAATCCGCGCGGCTTTGAGATATAAAGCAAATCAGTTTACGGTTACCAACTCAACAATCATGCAGACTTCGGAGCTTACTCAATGGAGCGATCTTAGCTACAATGATCAAGAAATGATCTGCCGGTTTAAATCTCTTTCAGTGGAGTTTCTTCGTGAAAACATCCGCCCTGGTGATCTCGTATGGGAAACCATTTTGGCATACCAGAACCTCTCGATTGAATTTATCACTGATCACATCGAAGTGCTTCCACACTGCTTTGACAAGTGGGGGCAAAATGGATGAACGATCATATCCTTCGGTCTGTCACACCTTCCTTCCATATAGCTTCATCAATCAACACAGCGATAAACTGTGGATGGGGTCGGAAAAAATTCAGACTGAAGTGAACAACCACAAGCGCATTGAAGTGGAAGCCATTTTCGAGACGGTGATGCCTGAAAAAGCCATAGCAACAAAGATTGCTTCATACTATGTCTGACTGCTTCTGTTCATTGATAACAAGGTAGATACAAAACCTTTACTCGCCTAACATGGTTATTCTATACGCATCGTCGTTATCTTGATAAAGTTCAGGCGTATCCCCCAAGCAGCCAGTATCATCGGATATTGATACGCGATATGGAAGCAATTGATCGTGAGATAATACAAGCTCTTGCGGATTGCAATAAACATTTGGCTGGCATTGTACATGCATATAATCTTTCATTGCATTTGGTGAAAATTTTAGATCAGTGCGTATTCATGTTGTTTTGATTAGTGAGGCGTCTTTTGTAAGATATAATGATCGTATAAATATAGATCGATAATGCCACAAACGTGCGAGCTTAATCATGTGCAATTAGTAAATGCCACTCATTATATCAATCTGCATCGAACGCGACACAATACGAAGACTCTTAATTATAACAAACACATCGCTGCATTTCCACAGAACTATGCAGCCACCTTTGATTAGGACAAAAGACTTCAAACATTCTGGAAACCCCTCTGTACGGTGAGAATTTAGGATTCCTTAAAGGATACCAAAACGAACCATGTAAAATCATAAAGAAAACAATCGATGCCTGGTATTCAGAAGTCTACAAGTATGATTTCAGTTCCGATGGCCCTTCCCCAAATACAAAACATTTTACGCAACTTTGTTGGCGCGATACTACTCAGTATGGGATTGGATATGCATACGATCCAGATCCCAGAATAGCTGTTGTCGTAATGAACTTCAACCCTCCGGGCAACATAGTTGGTGGTTACAAAGCCAATGTGCTACCGCCGCGGTTTCTTCCATATGAACGTACACGTGTCACCTCTGGCGTGCCTGTATTGAGGGTTGCTGGTCTTGGGTACTGTGTACCAGTTGTACCCATTAACCGGTTAACCCGAACCGGTCCAATCCGAACCCACGTTGATTATGGTGATTACGGTAAGTTGTTTACGCCACCGATGATTAGACGAGTAGGATGATTGGATGAACACCGGTGAGTGATGGTTGATTAGATGCACTAGGTGATAGGACGCAGGGTCGCGTGTCTATAACAGTAGGGTGTAAGCTCCAACAATTCAATCACTTTCGAATCTTCATTCTATCCCTCAAGTGCCTTCGCTCCGGTCCCGCCGTCTGCAACGTCCCTCCCTCCGCTTCGTCCGAGCTTCGTGTCCAAGATCCATACCTTCCATCAGGTTATGAGCCCAAGCACCATGTCCTCTGCCCAAGACGCCTCGACCAAGGTCTCCATTGACAAGTTCAACGGGGACAACTACGCGACGTGGAACCGCTACATGCGTGGCGTGTTCCTGACCAAGTCGACGTGGCATGTCGTGAACCGCGAGACGACGCCGAGCTTCACGGACTCGCGGGCCAAGGACGACTACGTCAAGTCGAGCAACATCGCGTTCGGACTGATGTTGCTCCACATGGACGCGGACTACCACCATGTGGTCGACGACTGCGAGGAAGCGTGGGTTGCGTGGACGCGCCTGAAGACGCTGTACGGTGGTTCGCAGAAGGCTGGACGCATCTACCTGAAGCGCCAACTCTTCAGCATGGAGATGTCGGAAGGCGGCAACGTCTTGCATCATTGCAACGAGGTCCTCAACATCAGCGCCAAGCTCAGCAGCATCGGCGCCAAGATGGAGGATGAGGACGTGTGTTGCGCAGCCTCCCCAAGAGCTACGAGAACGTCGTGCTGAACTTGGAGATGAGCAGCGCTGAACTACGATCGCAAGACGTCGTGAAGGTGCTGACGAATGAGCACATCAAGAGACAAGGCGAGAAGACGGCGACGGTGAAGACGGAGAATGCGGCCAAGGCGTTCAACACCGACCGAGAGTCTCGCCAGTGTACGTACTGCGGGAAATTGGGGCA